AAAAATTCACTATAGCTCTATAGCGAAGTTGAAGTTCAGGACATAAAATTCGTTATATCAAGGGTTGACTGTAATAAGCAATTGAGCATAGTATTATGTGCATCATTATGAATGTTATACTAAATATATTATTGCTTTTTAGTTACGAAACTCCAAAATTACAAATTTTGCACGAAGTTGTCATTCTCATCCTAAATATATTCAAAAGAGATGGGAAGAAGTAACTCTTAATTAGATATTACTCACAAATTAACCTCTAGCTATAGTTATTAACGAAGCATATAGAGAAAAAATGGCTGAATTTGATCCTTCTTTTGTTGTTCTAGGAGAGCAGAAAATCAAAACAATGATTGTCAAAAGTTGTAAATATAATCAGGAAAATTTGCGAAATCTCCTTACTAAAACTGCAGAAAATGTCTCACTTACAATGGATCTTTGGTCAAGTAAAGCCAAGCATGGATATTTGGAAGTTACTGCAATCTGGATTACACCAAATTTTGAAATTAAAGATGTAATGCTAGAAATCAATTATGTTTCTTCTCTGCATTCCAGTAAAGTAGTTGTTAATGAACTTTACAAATATATTAAGAATTGGAATCTTGAAAATCGTGTAATGTCAATAACCACTAATAACAGATCCAATATAGTTTCAATGCTTTCTTTATTGAATCAGAAAAGTGGGTGTGAAAATATTCAACGCCTTTTTTATACAGCACATAATATTCAAATGGCTATTGGAAAAGGATTAGCACTGGCAGAGATTTTGGTAGCACACGCAAAAAGATTAATTTGTTTTTTTCAATATCAAAAACAAGTGAAAAGACTAGAGTAGGTACAAAGAAAGCTTATATTATGCGTTGCATTCAAGATGTATTTACTTGCTGGAATTCATCTTACTATATTTGGGATCGCTTTTTTTTAAAAAGATACTATTATTCAACTTCAAACAGATTTATGTACATCAACTGATCGGGAAAGTAAAAAAGATGACAGTAAGTTGAAAAGGATTTTGCTTTCTGATGAAGAATGGGATTTGTTAGATCAACTTGTTGATTTATTAATACCTTGAGAATGCAATGTGTGAATTTTCTGGAAATATATATGTAACTTTAAGCCGGACTATTCCAATTATTAAAGAAAGGATTTTTGATTTAGCTGATGAAATACTATCAAATACTGAAGAGTTTTCAAATGAGAATACTGTATTTGAAACAGAAATGGAAACATAACCTACCAACTTTGATGATGATGAAGTTATAAGTAATATTATAAAGATAAGTATTTCAATTAAAATCTATTAGATACAACGGGTGTGTTAAAGAAAGTGAAGCAAAATATATACAATGCGCTAATTTACTATTAGGATATTCCAAGTAATCTTGATTTAATAGCAGCTTTATTAGATCCTTGCTATAAAAATTTGGATTTTTTAGAAAATGCCGATGAAAAGAAACAAATTATTCAAAAACTTCATAATAAACTTAGTGAGGTAGAAGTATCAGGATTTGAGATATTGAACAATCCAGCTCTATCTCAAGATATTGAATCTTCAATACGCTCACATAAAGAATATCGTCAACAGCGTCAAAAGAAAATTAAAAAAGCAGTTACAAATGTGGTAATTTCTGATGAAGTTACCAATTATTTATCATTGCTGTTAGCATTAGAGACTGAAGATCCTTTAAATTAGTGAAAAATATGTTTCCAAAATTTTTCAAAACTTGCCAAATTTGCTCACAAGTATCTTGCAATACCAGTAACCTCGATATCAAGCGAGCGATTATTCTCTGATGCTGGTAATCATATTAATGCAAAAAAATGAATTTAGATACAAAATTAGTGGATCAAATGTTATTCCTAAAAAGAAATATTAAAATAATGCAAGTTTTCGCATCAGAATGGGATAAAAATAAAATAGATCATATTGAAATAGACTAAATTTTATCAGCTCAAATTCTCCAATAAATTTTGACGTTTTATAAATTGTTTGATTATTATTTATTTTATATTAATAATTCAATGTTTCGTAAATTGTAAAAATTAATACATTTATTGATTTTATTTGTTTTTTAATTGTAAATTTAATCTATTATCAATTCTAAAAATAATTAATCAAAATACGAATTCCCAATTCAGATTGGTTTAGAATCTGAATTGATTTAAAAATCTAAATTGATCTGGAAATCCGACTTTAAGTGATTATTTGTAATATTTTTGAATTCTAATTGCAATTCGGATTCAGCATCAAGAATTCAAATTCAATCCGAATTATTTCTGAAGAATCAGATCAGATCCCTAGTATACGGAAATATTTACAAATTTATTATACAATTTTTCTACGTTTATTATACATTTTTTAAACATATTATTTCCATATGCTTTCCTTATACAGATTATTTATAGGGCAATATTATCTGATTAACAGAAAGAATCATAAAAAAGAATACAAAATCTTGAGAAGATATTATCCCAATATACATTAGTTTTTCAGAATTTAATATGAAATCTTGAGAAGATATTATTATATAATGAGAAATAAACAACTAAGATAATCTTACAGGAATAATATTATAACTCTTCTTAAATTATATTCACTTAATAATAAACAACTTGTAAAAGGTGTTATCAATGAGATTATTAAATTATCACATATATATGCTAAATTATATTTTAGTAAAATTAAGTTATAAGACATAGTAAATCATATTATCTATAATGTGAATTTACTGGAAATGCTCTTATATAATGTTTGTCTTAAAAGATTAACTAGCAGTTATCTAATAAAACCTTTATTGATATAAGATAAATAGTATTTTTATAAATTGTTAAAATTTTCTGATTTTTCATAATCACTGTTTCTCAGCTTTAATTTCTCATCTATTAATATAGTTTCTTAGACTTTCTCCTATTTAATTATTAAGCTTCGTTCATCGATACAATATCTTTAATTTCACAAATTCATGGTTATATTAGCACCATTCTTTTTATTGAATATAATTTCTAAGATTCTTACTTTTACACACCAATATTTTCGCTCATCCTTCGGCTTCCATCTTTTTTATGGGTAATTAGAATCCTTTTGATGTCTGCAATCCAGTTAGGTCGATATATTTTCTTTAACTGGGTTGCACTAATTCGCTGAATAAATTATACCATGTTCTTTTGCTTCTTTTTGAATGCTGCATATATCAGAAAAATTAGTTAATAACAGTCTTTATTAATTAGATTAATATAGAATTACAAATGTTATCATTAGAAGGTACAATACATACCCGTTCCCTCATTCTTCTTGACAGGACGTTTATGGAATAATCCTTTCACATCATTCTACAAATGAAACACCTACTTCCAAGGAAACCACTGAATAATTTTTTTTCTTTTCTCCTTGGAAGATAGTTTGTTTATATTGTACTTTCATGACTTTCATGACGATTTAAGCGTCGAACAGTGATCATCTCTGCACTATTTCTTATTACGGTACTATCATTCGATTGCTAGAATATTCTTTTCTTATTTAGTAGATTCACCGACCGGATGATTGCGTTTATAAAGATATTTCAAAGGTCATTGCGAGAATATTTCCTCCTGTGCCACATTCGCGTGGTTTGTTTACAATTCTATTATTTTCAAAAGAGATTCAACGAGGAAGGAGAGTAGTATTTCGCTGTCAAATCGAATAATAAAGAGTGATTAAGATTATTCACTTAATTGAGAAATCATCGGATATTCCCGACGACAGTGTATAATATGAATATATTAATCAATTTTAAATATACAGTACATTAAGCAATATTTATTGTGATATCAAAATACACGTGAAGGTTCATTTTTTTTTAGACTATTTTTATACATAAATATGAACAGGTTTTTTTTTCTATTTACATCAACTCAAAAATTTATTTTATTGTAATATTACTTTATTATTTATGTTTGAAACCGGACATGTGTCGAAATTAAAATTGGATAAATAACATTAGGTGAGATAACATTTTTTTTTCCCATTAAAAAGGGGGTGAAATATGAGGTAATTAATCTTTAGTTAATCAAGCTTAAATACACTTCTTTCAAGAATCCAAATTTCTAAAAAAAAAAAAAAATATTGTTTATTTTTTTAGTACTTTTATCTCTTTACGCCTTTTTATCTACTTTTTTAAAAAAATTGTACGCAGGAAGGTCTTATTCTCCCCTTTTATGGCCAAATATCTGCTGAATATTGATATTAGGATGTTTGTAACTTTTGTCCAGGGTTTTTGGTTGGTTTATTGAATTTTATGTTCCTTTTTTTATTCTTTTACGCGGTTTTCTCTTTTTATTTTATATAGTGACGTTCTATCACTCATTTCTGTGTGACGTTAAAAATGCTATTGTTGTGCGAAGTCCTGCTGGTTAGTCGTCTTTTTGCGTTGTGAAAATTAGAGTTGGAGGTGTTATTATTAATGAACTGTTAAACTCTATTCATTTTTTTGTTCTTTTAAGCGGTTTTGCTCCTCTATTTGTAGTGACTTTACGTTCTTTGCTCCTTTTGTGGAACATTAAACATTGTTACTATTTTGCGAAGTCCTGCCGGTTAGTCGTTTCTTCGCAGTTATGAAGGATTTGAGATGATATTATTAACGTAATGATTTATTAAGCTATTTCTTTTTCTTCTTTTTTTTTCTAATTTACAGTATTCAGCACCACTTTTCTTTATTTTAAATTGTTAAGTATTATTGGTTGGAGTTTAGGTATTTTTTTTTTTTTTTTTTTCACAAAAATATTTTTTTTGTCTCAACTAAAATTTGTCTTTGAAGCATTTTATAGCGGGCATTTTTCGAGTCGATCAAATAAAATTTATCATAAGATGAATTAATAATTACGTTGAAGATTTGTGAGTATTCGTTGTATTATGCTATACTTTAGGCTTTGCTTTAACGATTATCTAACAAATACTTTAATTTCTTTCAGTTCGTACCTTTTTTTATTAAGACCCCTATTACTTCCCTTCATTTTCATCTTGAGAATTATTGTTCTTATATGTGCATTGGGATTTAATAGAACGTGGTGAGGATACCTAGTACATACAGGGCCGTATCTGCTGGCAATGGGCTCCCAGTCTGTCTATTCCCTTATTGGTGTATTTAAACAAAAAGTTTATCTGGGAAATCTGACCTAGATTTCTGGTTAGTGCTAATGGGTGACCCGCTCGAGAAGAAAATGCTCAAATACATTCATTTATGTTTGGTTGGTCAGCCTTGTTGCGACAGTGCCTTCCATCATAGATGAGTATATTTGGGGCCAGAAGCTAGGTAGTTAGAGTTCCTCTTTAGAGGTCTGGCGATACTAGATTTCCTTAGGTTCTTATGATCCATTTAATTAATACCCCAATGTTTCTTATTTGATAATATCCTCGAGATTGGTGGATTTTGTTAAAAAAAAAATTTCCTTCCCCTTTAATTATATTTAATAGATATTTTTTTTTCTCATTTTTTGTTTTTATTTTTTTGTATTTTAAATATTTGCAAAACATTAATAACTTAACTCCATATTCTAGAATAATATATTTATTTTAAAATCTGTTAAGTGATCTGTTCGTCATTATAACTCTGGGTTTTTTTTTTTTAAAAAAAAAAAAAATAAAAATAAACTGCATTTTTCATTATTTTTGAAATACTAAGTGAAGGAAAATTTTAATATATTCTATGTAATATTAGAAACTTTTAGTATTAGTTTTATCACGTATCTAATTGTACTTTCAAGCTCTTCGGGTTTCTTGAAAAATTCTGGACATATCAAGTATCGTTTCGACATTTGGTTAATAATTGACATTTCTTTGACAAAAAAAAAAAAATAATAATAATTTTTATATAGGTTTATAAAGGATAATAAATATAAAAACGATCATAAAAATGTCATGAATCAATCCGGGTGATAAATTTCAGCCAATCATAAGATATTCTATCATGCTCACGTTATCTAGAATTTAACATAGACCGGAAGGACTAATAAAAGGTCTAGGATTTGGAACTATACCCTTTAAGGTGCTCTATTATTCATGATAAAATCATCACGTGCCAAATTTTTGATACTTGGCACAGTATTGTAACATAAGATTTCGTTTGAAGACACGTGTTTGTGAACTAATTAGAATCACTACACGAATTAAAGTTATATATAATCTATATATACCCCAATTATTTTTTGGATTCGTCGTGGAACTATGGAACTTGACAAAGATAAGCGTATCATGCGTGACAAAGAGGTACGGAACGCCTGCCACCTTCGCCGAAGCCCCCTATGCGAGGACCACACAAATATAGACTGTAATGAGCATTGTGGAGGTTGGAAAAAGAGGTTATTATAATGATGGAAATCATGTACAATAAATTGACACTAATTTGTAATTTTTATAAATAGCAACCACGTCATTACTTCAAACATTTCAGAAATGGTTCTCCTCGATATCATTGAAGTCGAAAAACTGAAAGCATTAGACGAGATATAAGTAGTGCGTATCAGAAAATTTAATCTAAGTATTGTTTATAATATCGATTGTTCCTGTCTTGCTGGCATTTCATTTAATAAGCATGTGCCTTATACACTCAAGGGCTTCTCACCGAACGAGAACTTTATCAAATAATTCTTCCCGTTCCTAATTTACTTAAGATTAAGTCATTTGACACAACAGAATCAGCGACAAGAAAAGTGCCTGATGAACCTGTTCTTTTGTGTGGCGACTTTCTTGCCGAAGCTTTTAATACACATCTCTTGATGCTAGCTCACGTATATATAAAAGACCTGACTTCGTCACATCAGAGAAAATTTTATCTGTTGAAGATTCGGTTGTTGACATGTTTTAGAAACTATGAAATCTATAAACAAATCAAAGATCATTTCTTTTACCAAGACCAGAAGATTGGGAAAGCGTTATTAATTGGGCAAGTCAAAGTCAACCAAATGCTATTTGTTGCAGTGCCAATAATTAGCAACTATTAAAAAAAGGAGGAACTTCTCAAATACTAGCAATAGTAGAAATTAATCCCGATCAGTTGATGAATCAGTTGCTAGACGATGGATTAAACTTGAACGAGGCTTATAACAGAGCAGTGAAATTTGTTGATGATGAAACTTCTATGTTTACTAAATATCAAATAATCATCAAATCCGTTAGACAAACATCTGGTTATATGGTCGTGTTAATGACCTTCGATACGGCTTGTTTACAACATATGTTCGAACATGGTTTTTCTACAGTGATCGTAACAATCCGAACATTGTCTATATTTCACCTGCAGTTCTTATTAATCAGAACCACACGTCTACTCAAGCTTCATATTTTAGAATGTATGTACTTTCTTGAAACTTTATCTACAAGAGATCGAACTGCACAATCTTCACCATCTACCTATAGTGATGAAAAAGACGATGTTGACGATGGTAACGATTAGGGTAATGATGACAATGGAAACGATGAGGGTGATGATAGGAAAAATAACCCGCCTTAATGAGGGATCTAAGAGGAAGTGGGGGACTTTAAAGGTAACCACTCGGAGTATGGCAAAGAAAAAAAGGGATAATAATGAAAGCGAAAAACTTGAAGATATGAAAACTATGAACGCAGACAGTTTTCTTTTGGCAAAGTGTTAGGTAATGGTCGATCTGGAGTTATTTTTGAAGCCAAGCTTTGCGGAAAAGTGGGCACTCTACAAAACTTATATAAAAATGAGTACTTGTTACAAGAATTCCAAATGAAATCAAGATTTACCTCGTCCCCTCTTATGGATATTCAATACATACATACACCGAAGTTTCTAAAATTCGGAATCCTTCATGAGGCTTTTGTTTTTATTTTAATATCGCATTCTGGAAAATCTTTTGCGGATTTAGATGATATCACCGAAAGAGAAAACCTATTGGCCATTGAAGGTTTACAGGCTATACATGCAAGGGGAGTGATGCATGGGGATGTTAGGTTAGAGAATATAATGGTAGATAGGAGTGAATCGATAAGTAAGTCACGTGTGCGGTGGATTGATTTTGCGTGGAGCAAAATGAGTCGTAATTAAAAATATTTTAGTAGTGAGTTGATCGAATTGAGAAGTTTACTTGGTATGACAGGTAAGCATGCATTTTGTTTAATTAAAGACATTAAATTTTTGACTTATTTTAGGACACAACAATTCATAATATATAATCATCCGAAAAGTAATTGTATGTGTAGTAAACTTGAAAATAATTACACGTCATTTTAGCTATTAATATCATGCCCTACGTAAGGCTTCATGTTAAAATAAAAAGTATTTTATTTCGCATAATATCACGTTTACCCACTGACTTTTAAGTGGGTGCATCGGAAAAAAAAAATGTTTATATGCAGCATATTAGCGTTTACTTATTGCACGGCGGGCGTTAATATCGAGATGTACTAATTTCTAGAAGACATCGAGTACGACATTTTTTTAAGGTTATTTTGTCAGTTTAAAGTTATCTAAATTTGATGCAATATGCTTAAGCTTCATTAAATAATTGTTAGACTAAACAATAAACAATATCTTCAAAAATATTATGATATACCTTCAAAATGGAATCTTTTTTTTTTATTGATAATGAAATATGCTAAAGAAAAGTTAATAAGATTTGGTAATCGCATCCTCCTACTTACTCTTAATAAAAATCACACCAATATTAAGGTAACGAAATTTAGTAATCAATGGAGTAGGGATTGGAATCGATTTAATCGAATCTCCAAATTTTTTTTCATGGACGTTCAACCTGGCTTCATACCAGTTTCTAATTTTAGCGAAATGATCAACACTTAGGCAGCATTGAAAAATACTTTGGAGTTAGATCGATTAATATGTAAAAAATAAAAAAGTTTCGATTCTATTCGATTCATTTTACTATATTGAATCGATTTTCGCAGAATCGATTCCAATCCCTACAATGGAGAACTTGTCAAAAGTAATAATTACAATGATAATAATAAGAACAAACATCTTATGATATAAAATCAATATAAATTACAAAGATAAATAATATAATAACGCGATGAATGTGCGACAACAGGAACCTTTACATAATTTCTCGAATTATCATTTTGTGAGATTAATTAAAGTGATAATTTATAGAATCGTATTATTTACATAAATTAAACATCAATGAGCTTATAAAAGAAATGATATTTATAGGATCGAAATTGGATGTCATTCGATATTCTCTTTTGGATGCCAAAAATTCATCAAGTATACGATAAAAGTGATAAAAGATAAAATTACAATTTTACTTTCATGATCGATATGATATTGTAAGTATTCGTATTAGTAAATCCATTTTTTAATCATTTCTTACATGTAGTTGATAATGTTAAATTCCGATTATAAATTCCCAACAATAGATATCGATTGTATATTAAAGTCAGAGAATTCATAGGCTTAGGTTATGTATTCTCGAGGTGAAAAAAGATATGTAGCGAAGTACAAATTTCGATGATTATTATTATTGAATTACATCGACGACATTTTCATGCACAGTACATTATCAATTATTCAATCGACCATCCATCTTCGCCAACAGATGATATAATATAGGCTTTAATTGCTTTATTTGATATATATTTGAATTGTTGACGATATAAAAAATGTTTTCTCGGAATCTTGCCTGATTCGATTGATTATATTAAAAATGAAACTAGTATCGACATATTTGAATTACGATGCATTTGTATTGCATCAAATAACTGACACCCAACGCATTTGGATGGAGGATTTTTAGTAACTCCGAAATATTGTCGTTTTCGTTAAAGTGTGGGTACGAGAACCTAAAATGATTATAAGATGAACAAATGACCGTTATTAGGATTATAAAAATGCGAAGAATCGATTTATAAGATATTTAAAGTAGTATTAGAAGAATTTGAAGGAATGGAAGGGTAATTGAAAAGGGGGACTTTTTAATTTATTTTATTCTAGATTCTCAATTTTATTCTTAAAGTATAGAATGTTAAATAATTTACGTTATACAATTATTGAGTTGAGTTACTATTTAAAATCCCGTCGAACATTAACAGATTTTTTGACTTTTGAAAAAAATGAAGTTTTGCTAGTGTAAATTTTCAAAATAAAGAAATTGTCTTAATATTTTTTTTATATTCTAAGTTAATAAAATCTTTTTATTAAAAAAAATAAAATTTTCGGTTTTATTTCTATCTATAATGGAATGAATATATGGACCAATATATCTTTATTAATTATGTTCGAGCTCAAAAAATTTTAATTTCTCGTTGCAATCAGAAACGATATTGTTAATAGTAATTCTAATAGATTTAAAAATTCAAGAAATAACTTATTGCGCCAAATAAATTGAACGCAAAAAAATATAACGATCAGAAAATAGAATAATCCTTTTATTATTTAAGCAATTATACCTTGTTTATTTTTTGGTCTATTGTTACAAATGTTATTTATTATTGATACTGTAATCACAAAAAGTATTGTTTTTTCTATTTGATTAACCTAGATCACCGGGAAAGTTATTCTCTAGCCAAATTGTCCTCTGGGCGATTTGTCCTTTTGAAATAAAGGTATATAAACGCTGGATTCTTGACCATGAGGCATTAGTATAGAAATTCCCTTTAGGATAGATAGTTTTTAATTGCCGTAGTAATTTCGCATTTATTGCATTAATTTTTATTAAATAAATCTTGCATAATTATTTCTTAATTAAAAAACCTTCAGCTACACTTGTACATTCATTTATAAATATAAAAGAACTGAATGCAACACTATCAAAAATCATAATTGCGGAAAGTTAGCTCATCTCGAAGTTACCTTCTTAGAATAGGACAAAGAATGTTCATCTCGCAACACAGGTCTTAAAAAATCATCTTTGTACAACCGTTTTATTATTTGGTCATAAGATTTATGTATAAAGCATATCGATATGAATATTGGTAGATTTTTTTTATCATGTGATTTTATTTTTAATTTAGACCAACAGTATCATCTATGTAACGAAATAGTTTGATACGTCATATTTATTGATAAAAGTTAATATGCAACGCGACACGTAAAATTATACTATATATACTCCCCAAAATTTTGATATACTTGTACAAGATTACTTTTTAAAAATACAAAGTAAAAAGATTTGCGAGTCTTTTGTATTTTACTTTTTCAACAGTTTGTTCTTTAATATTTTCGCGATAATAAATAAATATGAATTACCTTGGATTTCTATTCCTTTTCTTCTAAAATTTTCTTGTCCTTTTCTATTTCTTTAAAAAAAAACTTTGAACATAACGTTATTTTTATTTCTTTTGTCTTTCGTTGACGTACTCTTTTACCAGGCCAGGTAAGCTGTTTAAGTCTACTGAAAAGATCGAGCTGTTGGGTCTATTGATTCCGGAGAAGGGATCAGATTATGAATCTTCCGAGCGGCGAAGTAAATATCGTTATCTGTTGCTGTCATTATTTTTTATTGTATTGATTGATGAGGCTACTTTGATTGAAGAACAACAAAAGTAATGTCAGTAATTGGTGGCTGCCTTATGAAAATGTCGTGGTTTACGTGGATTACTGATCTTATTCTTTATGAAGTGTACCACCAGGACGCTTTAGTACGTTCGGATTGATTGGGGATGAAGAATATTGCTTCTGATTACTCACAATAGATTTAATTTTTCATTTTTTCAATAGCGCCAATTATGGGAAGGCCCAAGCAAAAAGAATCGCAAGATCAAAATTGAGTCCAATGGGGAGAAAATAGTCAACCAAAGGATATATGCTTGGTAACTTGTGTTGGGGAAACGGTGAAATGAAAATAACTATAATGACTTTGAAACGAAAACAGTCGAAGGTATATATATATATTTTTAAATAATAAGACATTTACACTATTAAAGAATTTTTTTAATATAATTTGTGTTTCTACCGTTTAGAATTATAAAATGCTTGTAACTTGGCCAGATATAATTGTTTCTCCTGGACACCGCTTAAGTAGATTGACAAAACATCAATTATCTAAATTGGGATTCAACAATTCAATCAGGTAAGGATGATCAAAATTTTTTATTATTTTATAACCTAATGATATAAAAATCGAGAAATTCATGGTTCAACATGATAAACTAATGATCATGAGACATTTTTCTTTATTACTAAAAAAAGATCTAAGAGCATCATAAGAAAAAAAGGGACTGACATATTCCGAAGACTGTGAACCGAATCAATACTTTAGACAGGACAGCGAATATTTATGAACAATAAATTTGCAGTAAAGATGCCGCTTAAAGATTACGCCCCAACGCTCCAATAAGCTTGGCTTTAATTAGAAGAATTTTTAACGATGGATGACATATTTATTTTGATGCGAAATTTTTATAAATTATTTATATACATTTTTTTTAATTTTACAGCCAGGAAAAATGAATCGCTTGTTAGAATAATAAAAAGTTCATTGCTCGTACGATTATGCCGATCATCTCTAAAAAGTGACGCTACTACTTGGGACAATTCGAATATTTACTTAGTTACGTGAAAAATTACTTGATTTATTTATGTACTATTTGCTTTATCATTTTTCGAATTACATGAATTTTATCAATATACTGAATGATTTATTTATTTAAAGAAATACATATATTCAAAATTACATCATTTGTCATTCACTTTCGTGAAAAATAAAAAAATAAATGAAATAAGTGAAAAAAAAAACTTTGAAAATCGTTATTGTGACATGACCTAATATGAATGAATAAGTTAAATATTAGGACGTCTTTAAGTCTTTTATGACTTTCCAATTAAATGATGTGTTACTTACAAATATTATTTAGTTTCCGCAGATACAGTCGCTAGTTGAGCATGCGCAACCTTCTCCACAAGTGCAAGTTCTATACAATTTTTTTTATGCATTTAAAAACTTATTTTTACAAAAATACATTATGACGATATTGCAAAAAGAATGTTAATTACCCATTTCCGCATGGTTCATTATTATAATTAATGGGTTGTTGTTGTGATGAAGCACATGAGCAGCTCGTTCCACAAGCACAATTTTCTCCACAAGGGCAAGACATTTTTGTTATATTTGTGTTAGAAGAAGAGGAGTTTTGAATTTTTTTTTTTTTTATTGCTAAGAAGAAGAACTTTAGTAAATATGAGGGTGAGAGAGGGTGTATTTATATTGTAATTTTTTCAAATTTGAATCGTCTATTCAAATCTTTGATTGATTTAGATGTTGCTTATCGACGAAAAATAAATCAATTTACCCTTTTGTAAATTTTGCTTACAAGATTATATTTTATCAAATCTTGTATTGTCAAAAATAAATCGATTGTTCTTTGTATTGGCAATGAGTCACTTGATGTTATTATGCAAACCTAAGCCTCAAAACTTATTCCCATAGAATTTAACATTTCTTAAATTTTAAATGTATTTCAGCCAATTACAAAAATACCTCACGGAAATTTATTTTCGATCTACGTCATTTGCTTATCTTTGTATGACACCCAATAATTAATTATATGAGCTATTTTCGCTGAGGGATTTCCGCCAAGATGAGGTATTTTCGCCATCTGCATTTGGTGAAACATGATTGCAGGGCATGCATGCATGATAAAATTATTTGAAATTTTTTCCATTGTATTTTAAATTTTTCGTAGAATAAGAAAAAGAACCAAATAAAATACAATATATCCATAAATAGTTCAATTGATTTGAATTTCTGTAATTATGATACACATGAAAGTGTAAATGTTTATTTGTGTGATCATGATAAAGCGAAGGCGTAATTTTATTAACTGAAACCTTTCATTTCATGTGGTGTGTGGGAATTTGTGAGTATGTATACAAACTTTTCTCGCTCAATCATTTCTTATTTTGATAAATTCATTAAAATAAATTTAGAACAGACTTCTGATACGAAGAGTCGTTGCTTTGCAATTCATGCATATTACACATCGGCTCAATATTTCAAATATTACATATAGTTGGTTCTATTTACTAAAAAGGAGTACGAGGGAGTTGTGTAGCATTTATTCTCGAAATTTCTCGCATGTGTACAAAAGAACGCCTTGGCGATCTTATACAAGGTTTAAAAAAAAATTGAATTTAACAAAAAAAAAATAACAATGTCAAACAAAAATCGTCAATTTAAAATCATTATATTCATGTTCATTATAGTTTGGATGTGATAGAATATAGTGTCACTTCATAATTTCGTATGGGAGTTGATTATTAATTTTTATTTTATTATGTGGGAGATAACGATACGATACATTGCGATTTATACAATTGAATTGTACAGTAGATCAATTTGACAAATTATAACAAGCGGCTTTAAAGAAATAGAAAGTATTAATTAATAAAAATAAAAAGGATTCAACTATTACAGCACAACCTCAACCAGTATTCCGTAATAGGCTCTAAGTAAAAGAATTAATATAATTCTACATCATTGAAAATTCAAAGCAAAGTAAAATAAAATCTTTTTATATCAAATTTTCTTCCCATGGTCTTGTTACGGAATTCCCTCAAAGATATCAATTAATCGACGGATAAACTTGTTTATTAATTCAGATGATGAAAGAATTCGATCGTCAAATGGCGCAGATTAATTTGAACTTGGTAAAATTTCCAGAGTGACAATAGGGTTACCCTTTTCTATGAGGCGCCGTCCTGTTCAAAAATCCGGGAATCAACCACGGATTTTTTTGGTTATAACCACAGATGATCCCTCAAAAGGGGATCGAAATGTGTATTCTTACCCCGGATCATCCAGGGGTTTAACCAAAAATAATCCATAAAAGTATTATTAATATCTTAATATTTATTGAATTTAATTTAAATAATGTTGCAAAAACATAGACAATTATAAGTTTTCACCAGAAATAAAGTTGTTAAAATCCCATTTGACGAAATTTGAAACTTTTATTTTAATTATGAATTTCACGATGTTCTGACATTTTATCAAATTTGGAACAGCGACACAGTCACGGAGTTGTCATTTGAAAACTGAGGAGTCGACTCCATTTCATCGACTCAGCCGTCTACTCCAACGACTGGTACTACTAGTTTAAGTGTTGTTTTAAAACCTTTGTTTAGTTGATACTATATTATAAAAGATACATTTTGCCATCGAAAAAAAAAGGAAAAATAATAAATTTCATTTAATTATAAACTTTGACTTTAAGGAATATTATTTTTTAAAAAAAGAAAATTAAACAATAATCAGTGAAAACACTTTGGTATATTTTCAATAAGCAAAAAGTGAAATTAGCCCGAAAATTAGATTTTAATGCTTGAACATTATCGCAGAAACAAGGATGTAGGTTCCAAAATACCTTCTTTAAGCAATAACTATAGAAGTAAGAGCGACGAAAACTCTTACAGCACTCATGCTATCTATATAGCTCTGAGCGACCGCTGCGATATATATATCCTACGACAATTTCGTCGCCCAAAAGCCCAAAACGTAAACCACAGGATCTCCCAAAACTGCGACAAGGCTCCTATCAGTTATGATGACAGGACAAAATATGATGCCCATTTTATTTTTCTTATTAATAAATACGTTAATAGAATTTGAGCAGCTCATTTTTTATTTTAAAGAATATAAAAAATAGCTCGTCTCAACACATTACAATGAATTTTCTTTAATAGGTTACAATCATAATAAATTCTTTGGTTTCAGGTACCTTAATTATTCCATAAATGTTTAATGATAAATTACATGTGCTTTGAAGCTATTTTTTGTAATAAAAATTTAGCAAATTAGAAATATACTTTTTTAATAATAATATATAAATGTAATATACCTACCTCATTAGGATATCCTATGATCCATTTAATTTTTTCATTTTGGAGCTAATTTTTCCCAACTTCCATCATTCTTGCTTTTCAAAATATGAATTACCGTCCATCCATATTGCAGCATAAACTTTGGCAAATCCTCCACCGATTTCTTTTATATTTCTGAACATATCAAAAAATACCATTCAAGAAATTTTTTTTTTTTGAACTTTATGTCCTGCAGTGTCTTCGATGAATTATCAATGTCATAATTTTCACATCAATTATATTACGAGGATCACATTCTTTACAGCAAAATTTTTCAGAAAATGGTTTATTACAATAAGAACAATTACAGTATTACCCTTGAGGTTCATTTTCATAAATAATTCTTAAAAAAATATTCTTTGGATATATTTGTAAAAAAAGATTTGTATAAATTTTTTATAAGGAAATATTCCAAATTAAAAATTTATTGAACATTTTAATGGAGTTGCGTAACATAACTATAATAGGACGGGAGTGCCGATTGAAATTCAAATTGAGTTTATAAATAATGATAATTCCAGTGATTTGTTGTTACACAAAGGATAATTCTAAATTTTTTTCTCTTGCCTTGCAAGCTCGTCGTGCACAATATTTTGCTTTGTCTTTTACAAAATTTTAAAAAAGTTCAAATTCATTATTTGGTTAATGGTGTCTCAGAATCGACAAAAAAATTTATTCGAATTTTTTTTTTTCCGAATAAATTTAACAAACTTTTAACTTTTGATATTTTTAAGCTCCAAAAACAAATGTCTTTGCTTGATTTACAGAGTCAATTAAAAGTTCATTCAAGTTTAGAATGTCGTATATGTAAAATATTTAAATTACTTTTTAAAGACGGAAAATTTTAATTGATCTTCGAACTTTTTTCCGTCACGTGAATTTCTTTTCCGTTGTTGACCCGAATTTTTTT